AAGACCAATGTAATGAGATCAAAGCCAAGGATGACCAACAGACACAGTTAATCCATGATCTGAACATGTGGAAGGCAAGACTGCAGACCCAAAATGGTAAGGGGGGGCTGGGTTTCAGAAGCTACAGGCTATGGGTCAGCAATGGTCAGCAACACTCATACATCTGTTTGGTAGGGGAGCTGAGCCACCAACTGGAGGAGAAGGAGTCTCTGATTTCACAGCTAACCCAAGGCAAGCAGGCCCTCACCCAGCAGCTGGAGGAGCTTAAGAGGCAACTGGAAGAAGAAACCAAGGTAAGAATGCCTCTTTCTGGAATGGCAGAGTCAGAACCTGAGAAGCCACGAGAACTGGTTGGGGGTAGGGCTGCCGCATGAAGTCTGATGCTTCTCCTCTCTGCTGTGTTTGAGGGCAGGAACCTGTTCTTTGAGGTCACAGGGCTTTGGCGTTGGATCTCCTTCCTCAGAGCCAGGGTGCTCCATCCTCTGGGCTCCTCTGTCCCTCAACAGGGTGGTCTGATAAACACCCCTCACCAGCCAGGGCGTCCCCTCCCGCCACTGCACCAGCTTGACCATCTCTGCCTCTGTGTATTCTTTCGCTCTGCTCAGCCATTCAGTCCGACCCCTCGAGATGCCCTCCTCTTTCTTCCTCCTCACTCACGCATCACCTGGCACAACACCCGATTTTAAGTTCTCCTCCTCCAAAAAGACTACATGACTTTAGGGACATACTTGGGACATATGCATAAGAGTAACATGGAAAGAATGTGCCAGAAAAAATGGAAAAATGAACATGGAAAAATGTTCATGGAAAATGGAAAAAAAATGGAAAAATGAACATGCAAAAATGTTCATGGAAAATGGAAAAAAAATGGAAAAATGAACATGGAAAAAAAATGGAAAAAATGAACCTCATCATCATGTTTTTGACTTCCGTATCTAGATATTTATGCTCATCAAGCCCATCTCCCACTGATCTGTAAACTCCTAGGCAAGAATGATTTTTCCCTAGTGCTAAACAGTAGAACAGTGCACACAGCAGGTGCCTAATAAATGCTGTCAATGTGCGTTCAAGCATTAGAATAGGAATCCAGAAGTCCACCAAAACTGCATTCTGTGATTTTGAGGTTGCCATGTACCAACTAAGGCTTACAAGACAATCTTCTGGAATTTTCCTGAGCCCTACTTACTTCTTCTAAAAACAAAACCAAGCACTTTATTAGTCTCCCATCTTTCCGCTCTATGGTAAGGGTCTTTGGTGGACTGGGGTGGGGGTTGTGATAAGAACCAGAGTCGGAACGAGCAGTGAGAAGATCCATTTCAGGAACGAGACAGTCCTCTGGCCCCGATACAGTAGCAACTGAGTTCTCTTTCTTGGGCTAAGTTTTGCTGTCTGTGTTTTAAAAAAAAAAAAAAAAAAAAACGGAAATGTACACGACTGTGCTGGGTCAACAAAACTCCTTCTTTGATGGTGGCCTCAGAAAGTGTTTTGTGTGGCGCCTGGCTGGCTCAGTCGGTAGAGCATACGACTCTTGATCTCAGGGTTGTGAGTTCGAGCCCCATGTTGGGTGTAGAGATTACATAAAATCTTAAAAAAAAAAAAAAAAAGAGTTTCGTGACCATCAAAATGAGAGCTAAATTGTCCTTCTGACCAGGCGGGAGTGAGCAAGGAAGGCCTCTGGGCACGTCCTCCCCTGCCCAGGAAGAGGACCCAGAGTCATAGAAACAGAACAGCTCACATCAGAGTTCCCCAGTGTGGGGACACAGCCCCTGGTGACACCAAATAATACCTTTTTGGGTTTTTTTCACAGTGATAGCTTTCCATAGCATTGCATCACCTAGCAAGAAAACGATCCCCTTCTTAATTCTGTTTCGATTCTTCTGCTTACATAAGGGAAAGAGCTCGATTTGGATACCATCTCTCTAGCACGTGCTCATTTTCCTTATTAAGGTGTAGAGCGAGTGGGCTTCAGGCATGGAGCCACACGGCAAGTACCTGGCTGGCAGGTGATCGATAACAATGCTTTACATTCATTCTTACAGTTCCCTTCTGTTTGTGGCGAATGTTAGTGTTTTTCTATTTAATGTAGTTTAATAGTTTACTTTTACTGAAATACAATAAGGGAGTCCGCTTGACAAAAATTAAATAAAACAAGACATACGTGGATGTGGCAAAAGTTTGCAAAGGCAGCTTGGGAACAGCTCATGTTGGGAGATGCCGGTTTAGGGGAAAATACCTTAGCTTGGAAAATGGCCAAACGTCTTTGCAATCTGTCACCACTGTCCTCCCGCAGGCCAAGAACGCCCTGGCCCACGCCCTGCAGTCCTCCCGCCGCGACTGTGACCTGCTGCGGGAGCAGTATGAGGAGGAGCAGGAATCCAAGGCCGAGCTGCAGAGGGCGCTGTCCAAGGCCAACAGCAAGGTGGCCCAGTGGAGGACCAAATACGAGACGGACGCCATCCAGCGCACGGAGGAGCTGGAGGAGGCCAAGTACGGGCTCCCCGGTGACAGCAGGAGAGGTGACCCCAAGATACTTCAGACTGAAGGGACAAAAAATTCTTCCTGCCTTGAGAGACTCTTTCTTGAGTCTCCCCAGGCCCTTGAGTTTTTGTTAAGCATTCAGACAGGGCGTCCCTGTCCTTCTCCAGGGACTGTCTCTTCCGCCTGGTTCCCTTGGTGGCTTCTTGGTGACCTGCTTTGCCGCCAAGCACTTTGGGACTCTTCAGGTGATACTTAGGCCCTGTCCACGCATCCCATTCTATGTCTTGGTCTTACCCAGTCCCAGCCCCAAATAGACTGTTCATCGTCATCTGATCTGACATTTATTTCTGAAATGTCCACCTTTACCAAAAAAAAAAAAAAAAAATCTGGTTCTCTTAGGAAAAAACTGGCCCAGAGGCTCCAGGAAGCAGAAGAAAACACAGAGGCAGTGAGCTCCAAGTGTGCCTCCTTGGAGAAAACCAAGCAGAGTCTCCAGGGGGAAGTAGATGAGCTGATGCTGGACTTGGAACGCACCAACACGGCCCGTGCCATCCTGGACAGGAAGCAGAGGGACTCTGATAAGGTCTGCCCCCAAAGAGCCATGGCCTCTCACGCTGGGATGTGGGAGAGGCACGGGCATTTGGGAGGTCTGCTGAGCATCAGGTCATAGTGTGGGCGGCTAGGCTTTGCAATGTCTCTTTGCTTTTGTGACAGTCCTTCCAAAGTGAATTTGTAGTCCAAGCTAATTCAGATTACTCTGAGACCCAAATACCTTTAAGAAGACAGTGGATGGCCCATAGGAACATCAGAGTCTGGAGCCCGTGATCTAGAACGGGGCCCACCTTGTTTCTTGGGTCCCTGGGATGTAAGGGTAAAACCTTGGCGTGGTGACAGCCCTTGTTTTCGTGGGCTCTCCCAGGTGCCCTGGTCCTTCCTGCTGTTCACGTGTCCCTGTGTCATCTCCCAGGTCCTTGCAGAGTGGAAGCAAAAGCTGGATGAGAGTCAGGCTGAGTTGGAAGCTGCTCAGAAAGGATCCAGGTTGCTTAGTCCTGAAATCTTCAAGATGCAGAACGCCTATGAGGAGGTGGTGGACCAGCTGGAGACGCTGAGGCGGGAGAATAAAAATCTGCAAGGTGAGCTCTCCCCCCCACCCCCCCCAGGTGAGCGCCTGTACCCCTTCTTGCCCCCTTCCTCCCACTGCCCCACAGAAGCCTCCCATCTGCTCCGTTGACCCTGGAGCTCAGCCCTGCTGATGCCACAGACACAGTCATAGTAAAGTGTCATTCTGGAACACGAAGGGCAAAGTGAGTTGCTAAGCTCACCTCTTCTTAGAGAACAGGATCATCTGTGGATTCTGTCTGTACGTGGCTTTATGTCCTTGGGCATGTCGCTAAATCCCTTAGGACATCAGACTCCAGATCTGCAAAATCAGACCAGACCCAATGCCCCCTAAAGCCCCTTCCAGTCCCAAAAGGCTATGATTCTATATTCTATGCGTCGTCTCCAGAATTTTCTTCCCCGGCCTTCGCCGCACCCATTTTATATACCTTGTGAGGTTTTAGTGTTCTTGCCACGCCACTCTCTGCATCGTTCAGGTGAGGCAACACACCTGTGTCGTGCCGAGACCTCACCCGAAGGTCTCCGCCATATTCTCTCCTACATAAATGTAAATGAATCACCAGTCCCCAAGTTGCCAGGCAGGATGCCTCTGCTGTCAACTAGAGCCCAATCGAACAAGCTAAATCGAGCCTGTCCTTTGCAGAAGAGATCTCCGACTTAACCGAGCAGATTGCAGAAACTGGCAAGAACCTTCAGGAAGTGGAAAAGACCAAGAAGCAGGTGGAGCAGGAAAAGTCAGACCTCCAGGTTGCCCTAGAAGAGGTGGAGGCAAGTGTCTGGGAAGGTCAGGAGGCCAGGACACCAAAGGAGAGGGGGGACTAGACCAGACCTTCGGGGCTGCTTCCTGCCAGGAGCCGAGGCTCCATGGGGAAAAACATCGAGCCGTCCTTGGGGAAACAGCTGTGCTGTGTTTCATCTCCTGGGTGTCCTCTAGTTCATCACACTTCCCCTTTGGAAAATAAATAAATGCATTCGTGATGTCCTCCATGTCTTCCTCCCGGGAAGCAAGAAATCAATCAGCAGGCATCCTGAGAGCTGGCTCAGAATTTCTCGGCTCTAACAGAGTAAGATGCCAGACGGTCTATGGCCACTGGGATTTCTGTAAAGTCAAAATAGGCCCAGTGTCCTGAGTGTGGCCAGCACGGGGCAGATGATAGAGCTGTTTCTAGGGAAATCTGCATAATGCAGGACAAGGGGAGAGCGATTACCCTGTCATTTCAGGCAATAGGGTGGCTCCTGAGTCATGGTCCCTGTTAAAATAGACACACCCAAACTCTGAAAAACAAACTGAGGGTTCTAGAGGGGAGGAGGGTGGGGGGATGGGTTAGCCCGGTGATGGGTATTAAAGAGGGCACGTTCTGCGTGGAGCACTGGGTGTTACGCACAAACAATGAATCATGGAACACTACATCCAAAACTAATGATGTAATGTATGGTGACTAACGTAACAATAAAAAATTTAAAAAAAATAGACACACCCAATAAAGGTTTTACTAATTCAAAAAGGTGCTCTGTCCCTCTCCAGACATAAAATTGTTAATAACAGATACAAAGCTTTAGTCCCAGGTTCATTACTAGGAGGGACATTTGGGGGTCACATTGTTTGACTTCTACTCATCTGTAGAATGGGTAGAATAATACTCATTTTATCATAACGGTGAAGAAAATACCCGTTCAAGAAGGGGGGCTGCCCATGATCCCCCCTCTGCTTTGATCAGGGTTCCTTGGAACATGAAGAGAGCAAGATATTGTGCGTCCAGCTGGAGTTGAGCCAGGTGAAATCCGAGCTGGACCGCAGGGTCACTGAGAAGGATGAAGAAATCAATCAGCTGAAAAGAAATAGCCAGCGGGCAACAGAGGCCCTGCAGAGCATGCTGGATGCTGAGATCCAGAGCCGGAAGGATGCCCCGAGGCTGAAGAAGAAGATGGAGGGAGACCTCAACGAGATGGAGATCCACCTGGGCCATTCCAGCTGCCAGGTGGCGGAGACCCAGAAACACCTGCGCACCGTGCAGGGCCAGCTCAAGGTGAGCGCGCAGGCTTTGGTGGACCTGGCTGGCGCTCAGCCTGTCCCAGGCTCTGGCCTCACATCTGGCTTTCCCTGCAGGACTCCCAGCTGCACCTGGATGACGCCCTGAGGAGCAACGAGGACCTCAAGGAGCAGCTAGCCATCGTGGAGCGCAGGAATGGGCTCTTGCTGGAGGAATTGGAGGAGATGAAGGTGGCCTTGGAGCAGACGGAGTGGACCCGCGGGCTGTCGGAGCAGGAACTGTTGGACGCCAGTGACCGCATGCAGTTCCTCCACGCCCAGGTGCATCCCTCCTCCCTCCACTCGGGGCCCACCCTGGGGGGCAGGCAGGACCCACACGGGAGAAGGGAGCACCCATCCTTCCTCCCAGACTAGCGGTCAAGACCAAGTTGCATTAAGCTTAGCTCTTGTAGGGAGGCTGGCAGCGCAGTAGAGCACGGGACTCTCAATCTCAGGGTTGGGAGTTTGAGCCCCACTTGGGGTGTAGCAATGACTTAAAAATAAAATCTTTAAAAAAAAAAAAGCTTAGTTCTTGGAATAACGATGCTCCAGATGGACAGATTTCTGAGCTTTCTTTAATCGGAAGATAAAGGTTGTGCATGTTGTGGGAACGTCAGAGAAAGGAAGGATGAATTATTGCATCAAGGTGCTGGAGAAGGCTTCACGGAGGAAGCAACATCCAAGCCACAATCATAGAAAATTAGAATTGTCTTTCAAAATAATTATTTTTATTACCTTTATGAAAGTTTTTGTTTGTTTTTTAAGGAGGTAGAAGTTTATTGAATACACCACAAGGGAGCAGTGAGCAAGACAACAGAAGACAGGCTGTCTGCCACCTTTATAAAAGTTTTATAAAAACAATTCTTTTTTTTTAATCTGTGTCTTTTTTTTTTTAAAGATTACTTATTTATTTATTTGACAGAGAGAGACACAGCGAGAGCAGGAGCACAAGCAGGGGGAGTGGGAGAGGGAGAAGCAGGCTTCCCGCTGAGCAGGGAGCCCGATGAGGGGCTTGATCCCAGGACCCTGGGATCATGACCTGAGCTGAAGGCAGACGCTTAACCATCTGAGCCACCCAGGCGCCCCTATAAAAACAATTCTTTGTTATAAAATATAGAGCATACAAGCAAACAAATAGAAGAAAAATACCAGCCACAGTGCTACCGCTTTGAGATCTTTCATTCCAAGCGGTCGAGGTCTACAATTATCATACTTTTGTAGAAATGTGATCAATGTTTTTGCAATTTATTTTCATTTTAACGTATCATGTACATATTTCCACACCTTTAAATAATCTACGACTAGGGCGCCTGGGTGGCTCAATTGGTTAAGCGACTGCCTTCGGCTCAGGTCATGATCCTGGAGTCCCGGGATCGAGTCCCACATCAGGCTCCCTGCTCGGCAGGGAGTCTGCTTCTCCCTCTGACCCTCCCCCCTCTCATGTGCTCTCTCTCTCATTCTCGCTCTCTCAAATAAATAAATAAAATCTTTAATAAATAAATAAATAAATAATCTACGACTATTTTATTAAAATATTTATTTATTTATTTATTTATTTGAAAGAGAGCGAGAGGGGCACCTGGGTGCCTCAGTAGTTAAGCGTCTGCCTTCGGCTCAGGTCATGATCCCAGGGTCCTGGGATCAAGCCCAGCGTCAGGCTCCCTGCTCAGCGGGAAGCCTGCTTCTCCCTCTCCCACTCCCCCTGCTTGTGTTCCCTCTCTCGCTGTGTGTCTCTCTGTCAGGCAAATAAATAAAATCTTTAAAAAAGAGAGAGAGAGAGAGAGAACGCACGCTTGCACCGTGGGGGCAGGGGCAGAGGGAGAAATCTGCAAGTGGACTCCCTGCCAAGGGCGGACTCCCCCTCCCCTATAACAGGTCTCTATCTCATGACACTGAGATCATGACCTGAACTGAAACCAAGAGTCGGACGCTTAACCGACTGAGCCACCCAGACGCCACCCCCCCATGACTATTTTTAGTGGCAGAAAAGTGGTCTGTTACAGTAGGGTGATATGGCACTTTTATTTAATCGATCCTCCACGCCTGGATGTTTTTAATTATTCCCAATAAAATTTTTACCATTAGAAGGTTTTCTATGATGAACTTAGTTATAATTAAATTTTCACATTTTCCCGTTATTCTTATTTCCTTAATATTCCTAGAAGTAAATAGATTGCTGGAAGCAGAATTTCATGGTCCAAACAATAAAGACATTTGCAACATGTTGTAAATCGGCCTTCACAAGGTGGTCTCCATTTTTATTCTCATTGGGAAAATATGTAAGCGCTCTTGCCTCTAAATCCTCAAAGACCCTAATTATACATCTTTTAATCCTCACCAACTTTATGGTTGGAAAACACCTCACCTTTATAATTTTGATTTTCTTGGGGTGCCTGGCTGGCTCAGTGGGTAGAGCACCCAATTCAACTCTTGATCTCAGGGTCATGATTCAAGCCCCATGTTGGGCGTGGAGCCTACTTAAAAAAAATAAAATACAACAAAGTTTTGATTACTAATGAGTAATTATTTCTTCTGGTGTGTTCCACCTATCTGTACTTTGTGCCCTGTTTTCTTGCACGATTTGTCTTTTTTAGATGTTAAGGAAGAGAAATGTTTTTTTCAGCAGCATACATTGCGAGTGTTTTGCACTTTTTCACAACCCTTATAATTCTATTTTATGGTGTGTTTTGATCACTGGAACCATTTCTCATTTTCTATACTTATGTCTACCTATCCTTTGCTTGCTCTGACACCTTTCACTGAGTAATCTCTTCTTCCTCAAATATGTGAAAATCTACCATTATCAGTTACTCACTTAATTGATGTGCAGTTCTTGGGTCTGTTTCAGGACCTTCTGTTTGGTCAAGAATGAAACAGTATCTAGCAAATCCCCGGGGTGAAAAATAAGAAACATGATCGTGATTGATTTCCTTCTGCATGCAACTTTCTCCCCCTCGATTTTCCAAGCGTCCAAAGATAACCTACACCTCTGGCATCTAATTTTTCCTATAGAACACAAGCCTGATAAATACCAAGAAAAAATTGGAAGCGGACATAGCCCAGTGCCAGGCAGAGGTCGAGAACTCCATCCAGGAGTCCAGAAACGCGGAGGAGAAGGCCAAGAAGGCCATCACAGATGTGAGCTCTGTTCCTTCTTTTCAGAGCCAGTGTTTGGAGATAGGGAAGGGGCTTCTAGGTGGGGACAAGGCAAGTAGGCTTTGTCTCCTGCTGACCTACAGTTGGTCGTGCTGGCTTCCTAGGGAGAGGGAGGTAGATGAAGCCTCAGCCAAACCCAACTGGGGAGGAGATGCATCACCAGTCATGGCGGAACGAGGGAGGCATGACCAGCATGCACAGCCCTGACTTTGACAGCATCCTCTGGATACTCCCGGTCGGGATGCCAGGTGGCCCACTCGTACTTTCTATGAACTTCGTCAGGCAGCCATGATGGCCGAGGAGCTGAAGAAGGAGCAGGACACCAGCGCCCACCTGGAGCGCATGAAGAAGAACCTGGAGCAGACGGTGAAGGACCTGCAGCATCGTCTGGATGAGGCTGAGCAGCTGGCCCTGAAGGGCGGGAAGAAGCAAATCCAGAAGCTGGAGAACCGGGTAGGGCGGCTCGAGAAGATGCTGGCTCCCAAAGTGATATCCGGTTCAGCCATCCGGGGCAGAGCCACCATCCAGAAACAAGGTTGCAGGAAAGTGGGCACAGATGGAGTGCATGCAAGTTTGGTCTGAGGACTACTTGCAGAGCTCTCTGTGAGCCAATATGCCCACCTGTTTGTCCTTCACTGGTTCCTACACCCCCACACACACACACACACACACACACACACACACACACACACTTTACAACACTCGTGCCTCAGGAGCTGCAGAATGAAGACACTTGCAAATGTTCACATCCTGTTTTTATAGGAATTTAGTTCCTTGTAAGTGAAGGGAAATGTAATTTACATTCATAACATTACATAGTTGGTGTAAGTTACATTTTGGACCAGCCTCCACTTTGGTGAACAATGGCCCATCCTACCTAAAGTCTAGAGTCTCTCTCCACCTCCCACCCCCGGCTCCCATTCGTCTTAGATTTCTCAGTCTCTGAACGCAGTCAGGCCATAATGCTGGTAAGCAGCTTGCTCACTCCGTCCTACATGGCAGGTGACTGGCGCTTCCTCTGGGCCAAAGCCCCAGGAAAATGCTACCCCCTGCACAGAGGCAATCCTGCTTTTTCTGTATCTGGGAGTTTATTTATATTTGCTTTTGTTTCTTTGCTAATGGATTCCTTTGTTGCTTGAACCCTTGGCTTTTCCCTTTAGACCCGTGATGGTTTATTTCATTTGTTCTGCAAATAGCCTCCATTACCAGTTGATGTTCTGGAAAAGGGCTGTGAGGGGGAGCTTGTTAGAATGTCTCTGTTGTCCCGGAAGGGAGGAAATGGTGGAGTGGGAGGAGAAGGGGGTGAGGGGCAGGCGAAGAGAAGGGGGTGACCTCTCCCAGCAGGGAGGCACCCCACATGCATTCAGCCTTCAGGCCGGCCTCCCAAGGATGTGATCACCAGCACATGTCCACCATGAATGTGAACGAATTTTTTTTTTCCGCTAAAAACAACAAGGCTATAGGCACATAACAAAAGTCAACACCAGGGAAGTCACAGCTTCTTCCCCCCAAATTCTTTAAATGCTTACTTTTATTCTTCCCAGTCATCCTCTGTTGCATGAGTTTAAGCCTGTCCTCACGGATCCCTCCCCTGAGAGAGGGATTAGAGCCCACGCCTCCCTCCGTGATTCTTTGATTCCTGGGCCAGTCAGCCCCCCTCATCACATGGGAGGCACTTCGACTGGCCTCCAAGCCCAGATGCTGCATTATCTTTAGTTCCACGAACCTCACAGAGGCCACAAAATCATTGGTAAACAGCTTCCCAGGGCTTGTGGGGTGGCGGCGGCGGGGGGGGTGGGGTGGTGAGGATCGCTTTTGGAACAGCGCCCAGAGTTAACCCGGGCCACTAGCGGAGTCCAAGGTTGATTTGTTGAGTCCACAAGCCCAGAGCTGCCCGTGTCTGTGGCCGATGGGATTCCCCGTGGCTGGCCGCCACCCTCACATCTTGGCTCTCTCTGGACTGTGGTATTGGGGCCACCGTTGGTGAGCTGTGTCCTCGGTGGCTGTCCTGTCCCCTCAAGACTTCAGGAAAGCCAGAAGCAGCTATGAAATGAACACCACCGGTGGGGCGCTTTATCATTTAAGACATACTTGCACACACTCTAATTTGACCCCCACGTTTGAGGCAGGTAGAGCAGGAATTACAGTCTCCACCCTAAACACATAGAAACTCGCCCTGGGGCTTGAACACACCTTGACCATTTGTGGCCCAGGCTCTCTCCCTGACTCCCCTCGGCCTCATTTGACCAGGAATCAGGCCCTCCTGAAACTCTCAGACTTCACCTGCGGGGGTGAGTCGGGGCTGAAGCCCAGGCCTTGCCAAGCCGCTAACCCCAGAGTTAGAGGCATCCGAGTCCAGCCTGGTGGCCCCGCTGTGAGCACCGAGGGCTGCATCTTATTCTCATTTGCACAAGGCCACCGCACCAAGAGTGGTTCTTGAGTCATAGGAGGAGACATTTTTACAAACTATAATAAGGGGATCCCGAGTTCATACTAAGATGACCGACCAACGAGTCCGCAGGAGAAGCCTGGCCACTCTGACCTGGACGCTGGGCTCTCTCCCCCCAGAACCCAGGTGCGGGAGTTGGAAAGTGAGCTGGATGCTGAGCAGAAGAGGGGGGCCGAGGCTCTGAAGGGGGCCCACAAATATGAGCGCAAAGTCAAGGAGCTGACGTACCAGGTAGGCATCTTCAAAGCCTCAGTGAGCGCTGGGTTGCTCCAACCCCAGCAGAGCTGCGGTGGCACGGTGCTATGTTTGCAGGCCGAGGAGGATCGCAAGAGCATCCTCAGGCTCCAGGACCTGGTGGACAAGCTGCAGTCCAAAGTGAAGGCTTACAAGAGGCAGGCTGAGGAGGCTGTGAGTAAGGGGCGGTCCCCCGAAGCCCACGCCCAGGGACCCCCAGCCCTCAGCAGGAGCCTGTCCTGTCACAGGCCCAGGTTTTCATTTGCAGGCTACAAAGTCAGGGACGCCTGCCCTCCTCCCTCCCCTGGTCTGTGTTAAGCAAGCCTGCCCACCCCCCAACTGCACCTCCTTGGTGCCTTCGGCTTCACCTCATGTGGCTAGCCCCCTCACTTTATCCCCACCCCCGGAACATTCTAGCCCACCCTGCGAGCCCCACCTCACCCTGATGCCCCAGCCAGCTCAGCCCACCCCACCAGCCCTCCCTGCGCCGGCAACCTGGCCTTAGACGACCCCCCATCCTGGTTCACAGCATCCCACCTTGCCCTGCCCCTTGGTCCCATGCCTTCCTCCTTCCCACTCTCCCTAACTCCCGTCCATCCTTCCCGACCTGCCCTTGATCAAATAGACCTCAGGGATATTATTACTAGTAGGAAGTTGGGCTGGGGCGGCAAGGGGTGGGGAGGACTTCTTCTGTTTCAGAAAAGAAATAGTTTGGGAAACTCTAGGTTAAACCAAGTTGAACTGGTAGCTCTCGAGGATTTCTCAGATTTTGTCGGTGACATGTAAGTCACTCTTCAAAGTGGATGAGCCATTCCAGAAAGCAGCTTTCCGCCCCCGCCCCAAACCAGAGTGGAACTTGGAGCCTTTTTATTGTGTGCAGAACAGCCCACGGGACTGGTGTTCTGAGGAACAAAATTTGCGGGACTCTGCAGCTGATAAATGACTGAGCATATGGCTTCTCTCCTTGTCTTGTTTCCCCCCTGCCCAGGGGCTGGTGGTTCCGCCTTGACTACAGGGAAGCAGATCTGAGCTGGTTAATTGGAGGGGGAGGGATCTGTGCCCATTGGATGAGCAAGGTCACAGCAGGACTGCCTGGGAGGGAGGGTGCCCAGGAGGCCACCTTCTTCAAGAACCTTCGGATTGCCCTCGGTCAACGTGGACAGTGGCCTGGCCACCAGGCAGACAATCCCAGGGCAAAGGGGATTGGGCCACTGGCCTCTGACCTTCCAGGTGTCTTGGGAGGACTCAGGACTTGGGTCCCGGCCAAAGAGCCCCAGTAGGGAGGCTTCCTCAGGCTCTTGCCCCTCCATCTCCCATTCAGGAGGAGCAGGCCAACATGCAGCTGTCCAAGTGCTGGAGGGTCCAGCACGAGCTGGAGGAGGCGGAGGAGAGAGCGGACATTGCCGAGTCCCAGGTCAACAAGCTGCGGGCCAAGAGCCGAGATGTGGGGGGCCAGGTGAGGGCAGACAGCTTCCCCAGAGCACCCAGAGAGAGCACGGAGGGTGTCGCTTGGTGCCTCTTCCCTGCTGCTGGCCATGCATTCAACAGACGCCACCCCTTCAGCCAGGCCCCTGCTGGTTCCAGAATCACGGGGCAATGAGCAGCAGGGGACAGGGGGCCACACGCCTTGTCACCCCCATCCCTCCCTATCCTAAGTGGCGCTGCCCAGGAAGCCCCTGTTTTTCGGGGGACTCGTCCCTCTCCAGGGGCCCCACGGCTTTGTTTTTACTATGTGCAAGGGCAGACAATGCCATCCCTCAATATTTTTTCTGGAAGTTAGCCTTTCCAAGCTCTCCACGTGAAGGCAAGTACTCAGCCTTGCCTTGGGTTTGACTCATTTCCTGATTGTTTTTCTCCCACAGAAGCTGGAAGAATGAGGCCTTCCTGATGCCCGTTGCCATGCGACACGCTGGGAGAGGGGAGGGACGATGTTGGGAGAAATAAAGTCTCCTCGCTCCTCGTCTCTCTGGCTCTGCGTGTTCATAATCACCGTCTATCCTGCTTGCTCGGAGTGCTTGGAGAGGCTTGCCCTATCTGCTATACATATAAAGAAATAAGGGGTGTGAGAGTGGGCCCTCTGGCTCCAAGCAGGAAAGGTGGAGAGCCAACCCACGGCCAAGTAAATCACCAGCTTCCTTCACACTCAAGTAAAGTCCCTTGCAGATAATTAGAGCACATTTTTCTCCTTGGAACACGCAATTGTTTCAAATTCACTTCCCCGGTTTCTCTCTCAACTTTCAGACAGGGAAACTGGGCCCAAGTAGATGAAGCCCTCTGACTGCAATTACCCGAGGCAGAGTGGAGATGAGACGCCCAGGGTTCCAGACTCCCAGGGAGTGCTTTCTGCTAAGAAATTCTGCTTTTCCATCCCTTCCTTCTTAGGGGCTGTGTTTTCATCCACTGCCCCCCATGACATCTGAGCAGGGAATAGGTGTGCCCCAACTCATTCCCTCCTGGGAAACACTGGGTAGGGGCTTGCCTGCCTTCTCTTTCCGGCTGTGTTGACTCCCCTCCACCGGCATGGATCCCTGCCACGGTGCCCAGAGCCAAAATGTGAAGGGAGCAGGTGGGCCCCGAGAGCCGTTCACTTCCAGAGTCCAGGCTGAGGCTGGCCCAGGTGCCAAGAGAGAAGCCCCTGCTGGTTTGGGGGCTCACTCCTGGATCCTCATCAGATTATGTTGATTTGCCTACACGGAATGGATAAGGATGTAGCGGAATGGGATAAGTACAGGATTAGGAGCTGAGACTAAATCTGAGGCTTGACCTGATCACTTCATAGCCGTAAATGCCTGGCCTTGGGTTGGCCACACATTCTCTGAACCTGACTTGCCTCCGTGGTCATGCTGACTGAGGGAATGTGCTTGGGTTCTGGCAAACCTGGATGGAATCCCAGTGCTGTCACATGCCAACTGCATGGCCTTGGGCAAGTCAGTCTTCTCTCTGAGCCCCATTTTCCTTATTCTGTAAGGCGGAAATAATAAAAATCATAGCTTCACTGGGATGGGTGAGGGGCTGGGGTGGTGACAAAGGGTGTAAGGTTTCTTTTTGGGATAATGAAATGTTCTAAAATTGATTATGGAGATGGATGTGTAGCTGTGAATATACTGAAAGCCATTGAATTGCATAGTATGTGAATTATATCTCAATAAAACCAAAACTGGCTTACTTTGTACCAGGCACCAAGATAAGTACACTATCCTCTAACATCTTGGATCATTCCTTCTCTCTATCTTTCTAGATCCAATCCTCCTTTCCGTCTCATCGCCAGCCCACCCCACATACTTTCAACACAGTAGGGTTGGAAGCTGAAGGCAGGTGGCAGCAGTGATGGTAGCAGGAAATAATTCTGAGGTCAGGTGACCTCATATGTCTGACATTACCATCATTGTCATCACCATCATCATCATCAGCATCACCATCACCATCATCAGCATCACCACCATCATCACCATCATCACCATCACCAACTTCATTACCACCATCATCACCATCAACCACCTTCATTCATCACCATCATCACCATCACCATCATCACCACCATTACCATCGTCATCACCACCATCATCAACATCATCACCATCATCATCACCATCACCACTCATCATCACCATCATCAACCACCTTCATCACCATCACCATCATCATCACCACCATCATCAGCATCATCACCACCACCATCAACATCATGACCATCATCAACCACCACCATCATCATCACCATCATCACCACCATCATCAGTGTCACCGCCATCATCATCACCACCACCATCATCAGCATCCCCACCATTATCATCACCACCATCATCAGCATCCCCACTATCATCATCACCATCACCATCACCACCATCATCAGCATCCCCACCATCAGCATCACCACCATCATCAGCATCCCCACCATCATCATCACCATCATCATCACCATCACCATCACCATCATCATCACCACCATCATCACCATCATCATCTTCATCACCACCATCATCAGCATCCCCACCATCATCATCACCACCATCATCAGCATGACCACCATCATCATCACCATCACCACCACCACCACCACCATCATCATCATCAGTGCTAAATTTTAGGACTGGAAGAGTCTATTTAAAAAGATCTCTTCAAGCTCTTCAATTTTACAGACAAGGAAACTGAGGTCATTCTCAAGGTCCCTAGATATCAGCCCCAGTCCAGCCCTCCCAATAATTTCAAATACACAAAACAACTGTGTATGTGTTGAGGGTTCACATGCTCCTTTTTCTCCCTTCCATTCAAGCCACACAACAAACCAATCAGGAGATCAGGCTGATATCAATCTCTCATTTTCTAGCGGCGTTGCCGACAAGCTAAGGCTTGTCCAGTGTTGAGAGGATGAGATGGCAGCTCCCAGACTCTCCGTACAGCACACAGTCTCACAATGGTGGGTTTTGCCTCTGTGTAGACATGTGATGTAATATTAAGAGCCCTGGGTTCCACCTTGCCTGGGTGCCAGACCTGCCTCACCACTAACTAGCTTTGTGATTTGGGGCAAGTGGCTTCATGACTATAAGCTTCAGCTGCCTCCTTCCTGTACAGTGAGGGTGTAACACTGTACTTTATAGGGTTATTTTGAGAAGTAAATAAGATGATTCAAGAAGTACCCTTGGTCTAGACCCTGGCATCTCGTTAGCGCTCTGGGAACCTGTCATCATGGTGAGACATGGCCTCAGGACAGGGATGGAATGTAAGACAGGGGTCCAGATGCACAACAGTCTGGGGTTTGGCTGTGTCTCTAAGGGGCTTCCTCTGGTTTGAGGAGATAATATACCATGCAGTTGGGGGTCATCAAAAGAAATTACTATGGAATTCTGCTCTTCTCCGACATCCCAACAAAAGCAGATCGGGATCCCATCCCTTCAAACACTGCCCAGTTCACCTGGCGCTCCCTAAAATGAAGCCACCCTCACACATCTCTGCACTTACCCGGCTCCCCATACCCCAGCTCTGCGCCCCCAGATCTCTGAGTTAGAAAGCAAGAAAATTCGTCTATCCTTCCCAGTGCATGACAGTGTTTCTACTACATCGAATCCTGATCATGGAATGAAGGGATGAATGATTGAACGAGAACCTTCCATACATAGACACCAAGTCTGTCTTGATGAGACATTTTAAATTTTCTTTTCTGAGGACCAGAAGAAGAGAAAGGAGTAAAGATGAGGCCCCTGTGCTGAGTTTTATTTCCCAGCGTCTGCATGTCGAATTCCAGCCGACAGCTGGACCCTCAGGCTCTTTGGCTGGGCCCCTTGGGCCCCTCTAACTCTCTGGAAAAACCAAGAGGGTGGCAGAAAGCACCTTGCCTTGGGTCTCCCATGGGGCGAGGTAGAGTGTGCATGGGACCAACGCGCACGTCATATTTTCTAGAAGTCCTCGGGCAGGTCAGGTAAGGTCCCTGGAAGTCTGGGCACTGCCTACCAGGGTGATGGGGTTGTTGAAAAATTTCTAAGTGATACTGTGCAAGAGGTCTCCTCAACCGTGTGGTATTGCCCAAACTGAAGGTAGCATTGCTACAGTCTCACTAGCAATAACAGCAGAGAGAATGATATGGCTGCCATGATAATTAAATTATTCTCCAGTAGTAAAGCCCAGCCAAAAAACCAGGACGCAGGGGCCTCTGGGCTCTGGAGAGCGGAACCTACCCCGGCCCCTTCAAAACAGAACTTTTGCTGCCACCTCCTGGCTGTGGAAGGACACACTTTTCATTATGCAAATGACCTTGAGACTGCACTCCTTAAGTCTCCAAAAGAGATATTCAGAGAATCGGAGGTGTCGTTGGGATTCATGATCATCTCGTCTGGGCCCCTGGTTTTGCAGATGAGAGAATTCAGATTAGTGATAGGGTTTTGTAATCCCTGAGGATTACACCTGGGTCTCCTGGTTCCCAGGCCAGGGCTCCCCCACCTGAGTGTCCATAGAACAGGGCCCCATAGAAATCTCCAGATGGAGGGCTAGGACCAGCCAGGCAGAGAGAGTGAATGGCCTTGACAGCAGAGGCTGGGACCACCACCAAGGATCTGCTCCCCAGACCCCTTCTCCTCCTCCCAGGAGCCTCTGCGAGGCTGGAAGAGCAGTGTTGGCCCCAGGGTAGAAGACAGTACACTTTCAGAAACAGCCCGCTGGCCCTGACAGGGGAGGTGACCAGACCCTTAATGGCTCTGGGATGAAGGTGGCCCAGGATAGTTCCAAAAGTCAGGTTCCTGGGCCTTTTTCCTAGCCCCAAGACAAAGGACCAGGGAGGCCATGCCCCCAGCGAAATACCCAAGATCAAGACCTGTGCCATTGGACCGACCCTTCAGACCCCTCCACCTTTCTCCAGTCTCCCAAAGAGGTTGAAAGGGCCATCTTCCTTGCTCTCTGCCTTGCGAGTGGGTCCAGCCAATGGGGGGCTGAGAAAAGCAGAAGGAAGGAGGAGAGTAAGGCCAAGGATATTTGTTCCCTGGGTCCCTCTTTGCAGACCTGCAGGCAAAGGTCCTATTTCCCAGAAGATGTGCCACTCCCCCCAGCCCTCTCCATCCCCATCGCCAGTAACTGGTCCCCACGCTCACTGCTTGCACATTCAGGCCCAGT